CTAACCGAGCGCAAAAATGCAAATAGGTTTGTTTATTTGTAAAATCAGCAAGAGTGGACGATTCACCGTCTCGGCGCAGAGAGTCTTCGCAAAGTTTAGACAATCAGATATTATGCTTGCAAAATTAAAGGTGGCTAGGGCCGGAAAGTGGATCGGGCGCCAATTTGTCGGACCAAGAGACAATTGGCTGGAAGGCGATGACGAAGAGTAGTAAAATTATGAGCACCAGACTGGTTGGAGAGGATGTTTACAGTGTAGCCAAGTGGTTTCAAAAAGAGTAATCATGCTCCATCTGTCCAGGGCCACATCCGTTTGCAGTAAAATCTCCAATCGTCAAAACAGATGATGCAACTTTGTTTATACGGGTGGTCACCTCAAATTGCCTACGTCAACCAGTCTCAGCCTTGTAGGCGTCCCCACCTGTAAACAAAAAAGTTCATCCTTTGGTGTATATTATTCTCGGCATCTGCTCTACGGGCGCCTCTGTCATGGCGTGGCTTGATGCGTTCATTTTATATCCTACTTTGGCCGAATTTCATTTTTATTGCATCTCTTAACGTCGACAGCATAAGTCGGTCGAGACCCCGAAGTCCGGCTTCGCCTCTGGCAGACTAACCGCATCAAACCTGTACCGGGCTCTTCCCCTCGGCCTAATTAATCTGAAGAGGCCAACATGCAGAAGTGAAGGGTACACGGAAAGGCGAGTGGCTACTTGCACTGGTTGTGCTGACTGCATGAAGGGATACAAATGCACATCTTCCCTCTGACGTACATGCAATGGCCCGTCTCCTGCTGAGTTAAGAGTCTTCACGAAGTGATTAATTGATTGCCTGTCTCTGACTGTCTGACTATCCGCACGGATCATAAATTGAGCTGCCACTTGGTTACGTCAGACGCGTCCGAACCGGTCTGAGGGGGTAGCACACTCAGGTCGGTACTCATCTCGCTTGCCCGACCACTTCGGGTCCTCTTGCCGCAATGGGGGCGAAGCGCCACTCAAACAAGGGTACTACAGGGGGCTTTAGATCGAAGGCTTGACGATGGTCATGGGACTGCAAAATAATTACTTGCAATGACAAGGCAAGTTATTTATGTACGTGCTTGTCCTCGTCCTTCGCAAATGGGCCAGGGCCACAGGGGAACAGGGGCAGAAGAAGCCGGCAGGAGGACACAGAGCGAAGGTGGAAAGCGGTCATTAAAAGAGAAGTTTCTGCCACT